CTAGCATCCCCTAGTTTCTGGCCTAGGCCACTGCAGGCATATGGCTGCATTTCTGGAATCAAAAGTGAATGTCTATTCACTTGCTTATTGTTTCAAACTATGCAGTTTAGATTAACCTGCACAGATTGAATCAAATCAGCCTTGGCCTTTTTGAATTTCTGTACTTAGCTCAGAAGTACCATACTGGGTCAGATTAATCTAGAGTGATCTATCACTCCTGGCATATACCACCATTCACTTACTGATGACAGAGGAAACATCTCTGACTTGTATTTAATAACTATTAATAGAATCACAGACAATTAGGGTTGGAAGGGACCTCAAGAGGTCATCCCCAACTAGATCGTATAATCTTATTTATAGATCTATAATCTTATTTATTGATATATATTTGATATATCAAATCTTATTTAAAGATATATACTTAAAGATCTTATAGAACTTATAGATATGTGGACAAATTTGTCTAGCTCCCTTTTTAATCTGGCTATACCACCTGCCTCTACCGACTCCTCTGGTTATGAGTTCCATTTAATGGGCACTGAATTCCATTGGGCTAATTGCTCAGGCTTTCAGAGAGATGAATACAATCTCAGCTTCTGATGGGCTTTCTATAAAGAAGGGACAATGGCTAGCCAGCTCATATTCCCCAGAACCAAACTGTCTTGTGCAAGGGAATTTTCTGCTCAGTTCCTTGTGACACTGAAGTCTCTAGCTAGGGCAGACATTCAAAAAGCCCAAACCTGAATTGATTCAATCTTTGCAGGTTAGTCTAAACTGCAGAAATTGAACTGATTTACAAGTGCATAGACATTCACTTTTGAATCAGGAAATGCAGGCACGTGCCTGCAGTGAGTCAGGCTAAAAGCCAGGGGTTGCTAAAATGAGGCCTCCCATCCCTTCTACAATGCTGAGCTGAGGGGGGAAGTGGCCAGGCCCCAGCAGAACACTATGATTAGAGAGGCGTTTAAACCCCCACCCTGGCCTGCACAGTCCCCAGCCAGGGTGTCGCGGGGTGCGTCACTACCGCCTCCCCGCGTCAGGGCCGCTTACCAGTCGCCAAGGGGCAGCTCACCTGTGGTCGGACGTTTTACACGCGCTTGCCTCACCTGCCACGACTTTGATAGTAATACTGATTGGATCAGATGGTCTGGCGCGTGTCGTCCAAATATGAGACTCCTTAGCGTCCCGTGGGTCCCACGTTGATGAGGGCTCCGCCACCCCTACACCCTCGCCCATTCCACCAGGTCATGGCTGCCTATCAGGGCAGACCACGTGTTCATAGATTACTCAGATTGTCCATAAAAGAAATGCAAAGGTAAACAAAATGCTATGGCCAGGGGTTTCCTAGATCGTGGTGACTGCTTCGACCCTCAGCAGACATCCACCAATATTCCCCTGTATGCCGTGGGGTTGAAACCCCTTCCTTAGCTCTCCAGGAGCTCTTCAGTCCTCACTAGGGCTCCCTGGAACTGCTCAACCCCTCCTTACAGGAGCCAAGGTTTCCCAGCCAGGGATTGCTCCTCTATTACAGTTTATATGGTACCTGGCCCTTGCCGGGTTCCTGCCACTCCTGAACGGCTGCAAACAGTCCGCGACCTTACTAGACCCACTGCCTGGGCTCAGAAGCCCTGCCGGGGCTTACCCTTCCTCCAGAAGGTCCGGCCATGTCAGAGGACAGCTCTCATCCGCCGGCAGGCACTCCAGACGGCTTCAGCTCCTCCGCTACCTCCTTCCAGTTCTGCCGCCTCCTCCCTGGCTTGCGCCGGCGTCTTCTTTATGCCGGCCCTGTCCGTGCCAACCCCTCCTTCCTCCGTGCACCTGGAAGAGGTGAGTTCCTGACCAGCATCTTGGGTCTGTGGGCGTGTGATTCCTGTGTTTGTGCCTGGGCGGGGAGCCTCGGAGCCTACCGGCTCCTTCTCCCCATCACATATCCCACCCCTCAAGACGCTGCTAGGCGTTTTCCTTTCCTGTCTCAGTCCCTCCGGCTCTTCTGACTTGGCACTGGGGTTCTCCTCCTCACACCTCAACAGAAAATCTGCCACGGTGTTCCATTTCCCGGGTTTGTATTCTACACAGAATCAGAAGGGTTGGAGAGCCAAGGCCCACTGCATTATGTGGGTGTTATCCGTCCTGGCTGTATTCAGCCATCTCAAAGGGGCACGGTCAGTTATTGGCTTGAATTCATGCCCTAAGAGGTAGTACCTAAAGTAGTCTACCCCCCACCAGAATCCTAAACACTCCCGCTCTATAGTGTAGTACCTTCTTTCATGCTCGTTGAGCTTCTTGCTGATGTATGCTATCGGCCGCTCCACTCCCTCCACCTCCTGGAACAGTACCGCTCCGAGCGTGAAGGCGGAGGCATCTGTCTGTAAAGTGAAAGGCAGGGCGAAATTGGAAGTATGGAGGATCACCTCCTGGCACAAAGCCCATTTGAGGTCTTCAAAAGCCTTCCGCCATTCCACATTCCACTCGATATTGCAGGTTCTCTGGCCCTCTGTTGTCTCAACGGGCAGGTTGGCTATTTCGGCGAACCTGGGTATAAATCTCCGGTAATAGCTGGCCAGCCCCAAGAATGCCTGCATTTGTTTCTTAGTTGCCGGAGCTGTGTAGTCCCGAATAGCCTTTACCTTATCCGCAAGGGGTTTTACCTTGCCTTGCCCCACTAGAAAACCAAGATACTTGGTCTCCCTCTTGCCCAGGGCACATTACTTGGGGTTAGCTGTTAGTCCAGCCTGCCTTAATTAGAGCAGGATGGCCCTTAGGGCCTTTAGATGCTGCTCCCATATCTCCATATATAGCATGATGTTGTCTATGTAAGCGGAGGCATACCCTTGATGTGGCGTGAGGACCCAGTCAATCAGCCTTTGAAAGGTGGCTGCCTCCCCATTAAGCCCGAACGGCATTCTTTTAAATTCAAAAAGGCCCCATGGTGTGCCGAAGGCCATGTTTGGCTGGTCCTCCTTTCTTAACGGGATTTGCCAGTAACCCTTTGACAAATCAAGGGTTGAAATGAACTTCGCCTGGCCTATGTGTTCCACGAGCTCACTGACTTGGGGCATAGGAAACGCATCAAACTGCGTCAGGGCGTTTAATTTTTGAAAGTCCACGCACAGCCTCAAACTCCCATCTGGTTTTCCCATGGCCACCAAGGGGCTGCGCCAGGGGCTACGGGATGCTGGGATGATCCCTTGTTCCAACATTTTCTCTAGTTCCCTTTTTATCGGCTGGTATCTATGGTATGGGATTCTGTGCCACTTTTCACGCGCTATCTGGCCCTCCTTGGTTATAATTTTGTGCTCCACCCTGGTTGCTTTCCCTGGCTGCTCCGTGAAAACATCCTGAAACTCCTCAACTAAGCCTTGCAATTGTTGGAGTTGTTTAGGTTCTAACTGCCTCCCTACCGGGACTTGGTCTCCCTCCTTGGGGCTTTCGGGGCTAACCCTGATTTGTACCCCAACTTCGTCCGCCTTGGGATCGGGAGAAATTAATAGGCCCGCGGGCTCGTGCCACTCCTTAAGGAGGTTAATGTGATAGATCTGTCTCTCTTTTTTCGCCCCCGGGCGCAACACTTCATAATCAATGGGGCCTACTCGCCTCACAACTGTAAACGGTCCCTGCCAACACGTTAAAAACTTGCTGGTTGAACTAGGTAGCAGCACAAGCACCTTTTGCCCCACTGTTAATTCCCGTTTCTTAGTATGAACGTCATATCTTTCTTTCTGCCTGCTTTGGGCTTGTTCCAGATTGCCTTGGGCCACATTCCTAACTACCCAGAGATGCTCCTGCATATCTTGGACGTACTCGGAGGCTCCCTCGCCTGGATTCGGGTCTGCTTCCCACCCTTCCCTCACGATGTCTAACAGGCTGCGAGGTTGATGTCCAAATGTTAATTCAAAGGGCGAGTACCCCAATGATGCCTGCGGGGCATCCCTGACTGCAAACAGTAGGGGTGGGACCATCAAGTTCCATTTCTTAGGCTCAACCTGAGCGCACCAACGCAGCATCCCTTTTAACGTACCATTAAAATGTTCCACCAGCCCGTTTGTCTGGGGGTGGTACACCGCTGTCTTCAGGTGGCGGATCTGAAGCACCTTACTCATAGCCCCCAACACTGAGAACATAAAATTGGACCCCTGGTCCATGATAATTTCCCTGGGGATTCTGAACCTGGCAACCCACTTCATCAACTCCTCTGCCACCTTGGGCCCTGTGACGGCTCTCAGAGGACTGGCTTCCGGGAACCGGGTCGTGTAGTCTATGACCACCAGCATGAACTGGTGTCCCGCTATGCTACAGGGCAGAGGGCCAACTACATCTAAGGCCACCTGGGCGAATGGCTCTCACACCACCAGCATCGGCCGTAAGAGCACCTTAGGGGGCTTGTGAGTGCTCACTTTCTGGCACAACTCACAGGTTTTACAATACGTCTCAATGTCCTCATACATATGGGGCCAGAACCACCACCTCGTTAAATGCGCCTCGGTTTTGTGTTTTCCTAGATGTCCCCCAAGGGGGTTCCTGTGTGCTAGGCATAGGATGGGCTCTCTATAGGGTTGAGGTATAACAAGTTGGGCAATTTCCTGTCCCTCGGCCCTGCCTCGTTTGACCTTATATAGCAACCCCTTCCATATCTCAACCCGGGGAACCTGTTTTCCTTGTTCTGGGGAGATTACCTGGGTGTTGGCTCTCGCGAGGTCGGCCTCTCGAAATGGTCTCAGCTCCTCGTCACCCTCTTGGGCCTCATGGAATCGACTGTTGTTAGCCAAGGCCTCCATTTCTATGTCGTTGGGTGCGTCGGTGTCGTTCCTGACTAGCCTCTCTCTCAGGTCCTTGTACTCATGGAGCGATGCTAGTACTTCCAATATTTCGGGCCAATCCCGACCCAAGATCATGGGGTACAGGATCCCTTCGTCCAGCCCCACTGGGATTCTTCTCCAAATCCCCTGCACTTGAACGTCCAGCAACCGCCTTTCAAAATGAGATTTCTGTTTGTGGAGGCATATCATTTGCACCCCGGCACACCGTGGCACTTGTTTCCAGTCGACCAACGAGGGGCACACTAATGATTGCATACATCCTGTGTCCACGACTGCCGGGATGGGGTGGCCTTCGACTCACACCCTCACTTTGGGTAAAGGTTGAACCTTCGTGGACCAGCTGCTGCCCACCCCACACTCCATCAACTCCACTTCTGGGGTTTCCCCCGACCTTGGATGGCTGTCGGGGAAGTCTAGGTCCTTTGTGGGCCTTGACCAAAATCCTGAGGGCAGTTCCAGGCGATATGCCCTTTTCGTCCACATAGGAAGCATGTTGGTCCGGGAGGAGTCCCCTTCCTGCTCCCCTTGCTCTCCTTGTCCCTCTTCGCACTTATATCTTGCCCCTTCATACCTCTGTCTCGACGTAGATCCCCTTGGGCCATATCGAACTGCTCAGCCAGCTGCAGGGCCTCCCGAGATGATGTTGGGCAGTGGCACCGCACCCACTTCTGCGTCTCCTCATTGAGGTCTGTTATAAATTGCTCTAAGAGGATCTGATCACATAATTCCTCCTTAGAGACGGCCTCTGGCCTGAGCCACTTATTCATCAGGTCTGCAAGGCTCTGCCATAACATTTGAGGGGCCTTCGCCTCTCTTGGTTTCCTCCCTCGGAAGGCCTGGCGGTGCCTCTCTGGCGTTATGTCCAGCCTCCGCAATATTTCCGCCTTGACCTTGTCATAGTCCTGGGCATCCACCCAGGTCATAGCCCTGTACGCCGCCTGGGCCTGACCAATTAACAGAACCCCTAGATGACCTGCCCATTTTGCCTTCTCAATTCCTGTGGCTATGGCCGCCCTTTCAAACGTCTCCAGAAAGGCCTCAGGATCGTCCTCTTTGGACATTTTAGGGATCCGGAAGTCCCACCGGCCCCTCTGAGCCCACACCTGATGCTGGAGCAAATGCTCCAGTATGCTTGTTTGTCTCATGGCCTGTTGCTGCTGTTGCTGCAGCACCTGGGCCATCAGGTTCATGGCTTGTTGCAATGACTCTGCTCCCATTAGTCCAGGCTGGTGCTCCATCTGAATCCCTCAGTACTGCCGGGGAAGCCACTGCCAACTTCCTGGCCAATGCACCACTGTCGCAGGGTGCGTCACTACTGCCTCCCCGCTTCGGGGCTGCTTACCAGTCGCCAAGGGGCAGCTCACCTGTGGTCAGACGTTTTACACACGCTTGCCTCACCTGCCACGACTTTGATAGTAATACCGATTGGTTCAGATGGTCCAGCGCGTGTCATCCAAATATGAGACTCCTTAGTGTCCCGCGGGTCCCCTGTTGATGAGGGCTCTGCCACCCCTACACCCTCGCCCATTCCACCGGGTCGTGGCTGCCTATCAGGGCAGACCACGTGTTCGTAGATTACTGAGATTGTCCATAAAAGAAATGCAAAGGTAAACAAAATGCTACAGCCAGGGGTTTCCTAGATCGTGGTGACTGCTTTGACCCTCAGCAGATGTCCACCAATATTCCCCTGTATGCCTTGGGGTTGAAACCCCTTCCTTAGCTCTCCAGGAGCTCTTCAGTCCTCACTAGGGCTCCCTGGAACTGCTCAACCCCTCCTTACAGGAGCCAAGGTTTCCCAGCCAGGGATTGCTCCTCTATTACAGTTTATATGGTACCTGGCCCTTGCCGGGTTCCTGCCGCTCCTGAACGGCTGCAAACAGTCCGCGACCTTACTAGACCCACTGCCCAGGCTCAGAAGCCCTGCCAGGGCTTACCCTTCCTCCTGAAGGTCCGGCCACATCGGAGGACAGCTCACATCCACTGGCAGGCACTTCAGACGGCTTCAGCTCCTCCGCTACCTCCTTCCGGTTCTGCCGCCTCCTCCCTGGCTTGCGCCGGTGTATTCTTTATGCCGGCCCTGTCCGTGCCGGCCCCTCCCTCCTCCGTGCACCTGGAAGAGGTGAGTTCCTGACCAGCATCTTGGGTCTGTGGGCGTGTGATTCCTGTGTTTGTACCTGGGCAGGGAGCCTTGGAGCCCGCCAGCTCCTTCTCCCCCTCACACAGGGTATGCCTGGAGGAGGAGGGCGAAGCAGCTCTTGCCAGGCTTCCTGTCCTCCCCCCCACCCTGCCACTCAAGGAGGGAGTGTTGCCAGACCCTGATCACTTAAACTAGTTTATGTGTAACTCTGTCTGTAGCCCCTGAGGCAAGGAAGTTAACTTCCCCCAATAAAGATGAGTATAAGTTTGAGCATGAGCATGAACAAGAACAACTGAGTGAGAAAGACTGACTCATAGTCCAGCAAATCAAAACCTCCATTGATAACGTTGTAGGTAAGAGCTCCTACTACAGCAGGTTCTTAGCAGAAGCAGGAAGATAGCGTAATTTATGCAGGAATAAAAAAAAAAGCACGATAAATGCTTTTCCACTCATTCTCCAGGTCAGTCAAAATACAGCATGTGATAATAATAAAAAGGAAAGAAAAGGGGCCTGATAAATATAAATCTCCTCAGCTCAGAAGAATATTCTTTCAATACCAAAACTAAACTCAAATAACCAAGGCTTTTGGCCTGCTCATTTGATTTCTTTGCCTGCATGCTTTCTCAGTAACCAGTCACCTAATTCATCAAGTCATTAAACATCAACAACAATAAAACAGCTTGGACAAATTAATTTGCAACTCCTGCAGAACTTTTGCTGCCATGGCATGTTGCCATTTAGCTGGAGGGAGACAAGAGGAAGCGAGTCAGCAGTGACACATACTGTGCATCCCAGCAGGAAAAAAATCACCCACTCTGTATAATACCACAGCTTATCGGAAGTAGTTAATCTGCCATAACTTACTTAACAAAAATTGCAGCTTATTAAAAAGGCATGTAAGCAATGCAGCTGAAGACAAGTCTACATAAGAATCAGCTAGCATAATTATGACTGGTTAAAAAAATGAAAAAAAGGAGAGTAACTATTTTCATCCTACACCAGCTGAAGAAAGCCAAAGACAAACAGGAGAGAGAAAGATGAAGGACAAAAAAACCCCACAAATTTCGAATTCTTAATATTAAAATACTTAGCAATGATCATACCTGTTTTTTAGTTTTTCCATGAATAGCAGATTTGTCTCAGGATTTGCAAACTCCCATAACACAGTATAATCCTGGGTTTGGTATATCTGGGTAGATAGATATCTGTATACTTTAGAGAGGCCCCTTCTACTTGAGTAGGTAAAGGTGTGATGGCATCTAATGAGTGATCCATATACGCATGACAGAAGGTGCGATTGCAGGATTGCACATTAGATCCTATTACACCAGTGTTTCTCAAACTGTGGGTCGTGACCCCCTCCCCCCCCAGGGGTGTCATGAGCAACTTAAAAGGTGGCACAAACTTCCCAGGAGGTATGTACAGCAGTGCAGGGAAGTGGTGCGTGACAACGGAGTGGTAGATGGCAGTGGTGGCTGCCACGTGCCAGCTTCCTGTCCCCTGCTGCTGCCATCCAGCACTTGGGGTCGTGGTATCACAAAGTTTGAGAACCCCTGCATTACACCTTATTGCTGATGCAGGGGAGCCCATCCTGGGCTCCCTGTGCACTGGCAAGAAGCAGGTTCCCGCAGCTGGAAGCCATCTGTGCTGACAGGGCTCCCAGTCCCAAGGCCATGTGCAGATAGGGCTGAGAGTCCCACAGTGGATGGGACTCTTTCTCCTGGCCATGCCACATGTCATGGGTGGGGACTCTTGGCCCTGGCTGCACATGTGGTGCTACCAGATCTGAGAGTCCCATTAGCTGCAGGACTATCAGCCCTGGCAGCTTTGGGGCACTGCTGAGATCTCTCAGCCCCAGGGGTGGGTGGGGTGTCCCACAGCTGGGAGATTGTAGCAGCCTCAATCTCTCAGCTGCTGCCATCACACCTTTACCTCCACGTTGAGCATCCCTGCGGCTGAGAAAATTGCAGCAGCTGCAATCTTCTCCCAGCCCTGGAAGTGCATTGTGCTCTCCAGTAGCCTGGAGATCATGGCAGCTGCAGTCTCCCATTTGCAGACTGCCTACACATGCAAATTAAAGGAGGATGGAAACCAGCTATAAAATTGTTATATATTTTCAAGCAGTAAGTTTATAGCTGGTTGGACCTGTTAAAGGCGCCATAGTCAATTGGAAAGTATAGTCAATCTAAATTTATTGCACAATTAACAAGGTAATTGCATAATAGATATAATGTGCAGAGGGGCCATAGCTGAAGTAGATATATCTGTAAATGTCTGCAATCTTCATGATTTACATTTTGCGAATTCATTTATGTATCTCACTGTAACTGCTAAGGCCTTGATTTAGCAAGACATGTATGCATATACATACCTTTAAGTAGATCTATTGGAGCTTAACTTAAATGTAGGCTTAAATACCTTGCTCAACTACAATATTGATGCCACAAGGCATTCAGTATCTGTTCTGTAAAAAGAGGTAAGTGACTCCAAAGTAAAGCACATTTAACCTTTACATCTTTCAGCTTTTGGAATGGAAAAAATGAATATCACCTGCCCTTTTCCATGCCTTCAAGAATAATTTTCTGTATATTTTCAATATAAAGCATTAATTCTAAAACTGTGACCTATGAAGCACCAATGTAGGTAAGCATATGAGCTCCTGAGAGTTTGTGGAAAGTGGCTGGTCACATGATTTTAATTCACCTCTTTGTCCTCCTTTACATATGCAGGTAAAGGCACAGTGGGATCTAATGTATGATTAACAGAATCACGCATTAGATCCCATTATACCTTATTGCTGGTGCAGGGAGAACCGGATTCTGGACTACCCTTGCACTAGCAAGAAGCAAACTCTTGTGGCTGGGAGACTCATGCACCCCAGTTGAGGGGCTTCCAGCTGCCAGGGCATCCATGATCCCCCCAACCTCAGGAATATGCTAAACCCCTGCGGTGGGAGGATCACCACTGTGGAAATATCTCCACCCCAGTGGTGCAGGAATGCCCCAGGGCTGGGGCATCACCACAGTCCTCTGGTCCTGGGAGTTTCCTGCATCCCTGGAGCAGGGGGATGTCTGGGGCTTTCATAGTTTCATAGTTTCTAGGGTCAGAAGGGACCTGAGCAGATCATCTAGTCAGACCCCCTGCCATGGCAGGAAGAGCACTGGGGTCAAATGACCCCAGTAAGGTGGTCATCCAACCTCCTCTTAAAAACCTCCAGGGTGGGAGCCTGCACCACCTCACTTGGAAGCTGGTTCCAGACTCTAGCCGCCCTGACCGTGAAGTAGCGCCTCCTGATGTCCAACTTAAACCTTCCCTCCGCCAGCTTGTGACCATTGTTCCTGGTCACTCCTTGCGG